AAGAACAAAAAATCATCTCTGTATTTAGCAAATTGGCTATGAATAATCGTAGCCGTTCGTAGTCGAACCCATCCCTAATTCCAAATAAGGAAACCAGTAATATCGGTCAACACGATATATAAACATATAAAAAAATAGCAGCGAAAACAAATTATTTATATTACCAAAGGGTTTACAAACTCTTGGTAATAAAATAATAACAGCAAAAAGAAAAAGTTATTCATACTGCTGAAGATCTTTCAACTCTTCGGAATATTTAAAACGTCGCGAACTAATCGATCTTGATAATGATTTATATCTTTGTCAAGGCTTTGCATATGTGATATTTGTACAAAAGACTGTAAGTTATAAATTATAATAAAACAAATGACACAGCATGGATAATAGTTTACATACGTGAAATATAAACATCAAACAAAAAATTTCGCACAAGCATCAAAAGAGAACGGAAAGACAGCAGAATCCAACTCAGACAAACCATCAGTTGACATATTCAGGGTGTATAAAGTCATTCGGTATCCTAATCGATTAATATTATAATATGATCAATAATTGGAACTTTCTTTTCGCAAAATAAAGTCATTCTTACCAACAATTTGTGAGCTCAAGACCTGGGACAGTTTAGATGTTTCATCAAAATTGCCACTAAATTAAACAAATCCGTATGAAGGGATTTTATTGTATCATCAATTTTGTGCTTCTTTGGGTACCCGACGGTGGGCCTGCTACTTCTATATACCACATATCTTTGTCATCTAGGACTCGAGTACCTTTTGAATGGTTGACAATCGAATTAAATGATGGATAGTTTATGAAAAGCAGTCCCTATAAAAAAATTTTCGAAAAACGGATCCCAACTTTGTCTCATTTTTCCGGAACAAATACAAATTTTTGGTCATTTCCATATTATAATTCCGGGTAAAAATTATCAGGTGTCTTATTACGGAAAAATGAGCATTTTCCAGAATAATCACAGGTTGAATCAATGAATAACGGGTGCATGTCGGGAGACAAATCTCCCGATATGTACCCGTTATTCTACCATAGATCCGCCAAATAACTGTAGCATATCGGTAGCATAATGGTAGCATATAGGTTATATATCGGGAGGTAGATCGATAACAAACATAACAGTAACATACCGGGACATCCCGATATCTTACACTTAGTCCAAATAGTGCTAAGAGTAAGATACCGGGATGTCCCAGTAGGTTACTGTTATGTTACCGTTATCGATCTACCCGATATCTAACCTATATGCTACCATTATGCTACCGATATGCTACAGTTATTTGGCGGATCTATGGTAGAATAACGAGTACATATCGGGAGATTTGTCTCCCGATATGTACCCGTTATTCATTGATTCAACCTGTGAATAGTGTGGAGAAAGTCAGGAAACTTTTTCTAAAATTTTTTATAGGGTGTTTGAATAATAGTCTGACGATTAAATAACTTACCCCTTCCATCTACTAATTCAATTCCAGAACTTGTTAGTGATTTCGAAATCTTTGCAGCTGGAGTGAGACTATATCCAGTTAAAAACCATTGTCTCAAATGTTGCTTCGTAATACTTGAACAACGGTGAAATGTGCTGTAAAATATATTTTCGTTCTTTGATATTTCTTGGGAGGATTGAACGGATATCAACAAGATTATAACTTGAATAAAAAACAATACTGAGTATTAAAATATCCTACTTGCATTTTAGATCATACGATTTATTACAATTAGAACAAAACTCACAAGTCCGTTAAAACCTTTTTGCAATACAACCGAACTTTATTTTTCCGGTTCATCTTTTATGAGTTCCATGATCGCCGCTTTAAATTCGTAGCTAGCTTTCTTTTAAAACAACGTACATACCGTATAAGCGCGAAATAACGCGCAGGGGTATAATTTCGAAATTTGGCCTAAATTAAGTCTAATTCAGGCCATTATTCAAAATAACGCCCCTGCGCGTTATTTCGCACTTTACCTATAAAAATTTTTCGAAAAACGTATCCCAACTTTCAGACCATCGTTCCGGAAATGTTCATTTTTCTAGATCAAAAAATATATAAATTCATGGTCATTTTCTATATAATCCTGATAAATTTGGGTAAAAAACAAATCCGAATAAGATTCAGTTTCTAATTATAATGAAGTGCAAAAGATTAAAAGACGAATATTAATCTGGATTTGAGTTTTACCCGAAAATTATCAGGATGGCCATTTTCCGGAACGATAGTCTGGAGAAAGTCGGGATACGTTTTTCGAAAAAATTTTATAGGGTTTCAAAGAGGCTAAGAGAACTTACGTCGAAAGCATTATCTAGGCATTTAACTAATTCATCTGTCCATCCAGTCGGAAGTCCACTACTTGATTTTGAATGATTTTATTCCCCATTGCTTCAAGATCATATTGTTTCTGAGCACCATAATATTTCCGACATGTCTCCGCAATGGCTATACCCTTCCATTTCCATGTCTTTAATATATGTTTTGTATTGGTTTGGATTCTTATAATTTATATAGCACTATTTTCAAGACTTACTTCCAACCATTTAATATAAACAAAGTACGAATAGCAAATAGTATTGTCCTTAGGTCATGGATTTGTTTTAAATTTGTAATGAAAAGTTCTTTAACTTGATCAAAACTGTATTCTGATCCCTCATAAATCTTGCAGACTCTAAAATAAAAAATGTATCTATATTAGAAGTATTTCTTTCACATTTGTAATCAAAGTATTTGGTTGTTTTAAGTCGAGGTTCCAGAGATGGATTCATTTTTAAGAAAAACGCGTCACGAGGGATAAAACGCGTCAAGAGGGATAAAGCGCGTCAATGGGGGACTTTCTCACTTTTCGGAAAAGCACGGGTTTATCTTAAGGTGGACAGCCAATCAGAAATCGTCTAACTCGGCACATGATACAACTTTAGTAGACATTCGTTGAACTTTTATTTCGAAGTTAAAGAAATATTTACTTGGACCATAACAGCAATTTTATAATCATAAGAACTTAATTTGAAAAGGGGTTTGATAATAAGTTACGCGTTCTCTAGCAATATAAATTATACTATTTTTATAGATAAAATACAATAAACAACTTCTATTAAATTAAATATCTTTTGAAATATATATATAATTTCGAAACAACCTGTAAACCTTGTAAATAAAATCAACGTGTTAATTATTTAAGCAATAAAAAAAAAAAAAAACAGGACGTTAAACTTCACGAATTGAGCAATGGAATCTATTTTTATTACCTGCTACAATAGGATATACAGTATTGTCACTCCTAATAGACCTACCTCTTACAACTTAATTTCGTGACGAGCGTTCATTAAGAAGTTATGATATTAAAAAAGTTTGCTTATACTATGCAATATAAATAAGTGTGTAACGTATATCCGGAAACTATCGGGTTCGAATGTCTCCCGGATCATATTATTTAGCTTTATATTTCTGTATTTGATTCATATATAGGGTTAGGGTGGCTAAACCTCTATGTATGCACCCCCCTTGGGACCGACCATAAGCATTTATAGAGTGTGCAATTATAGAGCGTGCATATATAGAGGGTTGACTATATATATCTGATATATATAAGCTTCATGTTATGAATATATGCTAATTCGCTTAACAGTATGTAATGTTAAGTTATTGTACGTACTTGCATATACATATTCTACGTACAGTACGTATACTTCGTTGGTGTTTGTGCATAACAATCATATGAACATTAAGATTTAGAAATAAGGTTCTTTTGCTATGAAAATCATCTTTTACTTTATTGATTCGATAGTTTATTTAATAGACTATCGAATCAAGAAAGTAAAAGCTGATTTACACAATCGCTTTTCATAGCAAAGATCCCAAATATTTTATAGTCTTTAATATTATCAGAATACTCCTAAAAGATCAAGCGCTTGTTATCATAATTTGGTATATGATTAGCGTATTTTCTTCCCTTTAATTTTGAATTACAACATGAAATAATCTTAATTCTGGCCCGTTATCATTGTTTCATGAAATATCTATCGACTTCATAGGCAGACATTCGTATGATTGGCTGTTCAAAACAATTTAATTTTACATTATTTATACAGTTTAAAGTACTTTTTAAAAAAAAGAAAC